AGACTGACCAAGGCAACACGAGGGGATAGGATTTCAACTTCAATTTTTTGAGTCAATACCCGAGCAAAGTTGACCGCCGAAGGGCTATAAAATCTTTGATCAAAATCGATCAAAGGTTCCCATTCTAATTTCATTCGAATTCACAAATCCAGCATTAAGAAAATACCCGCGTAAGGTGATCGTCCGCGCCAAATTCGCACGGCACGGCCCCGAAAAACAACGAAAGGCGATCCGCATCAAGCCCGATCGCCCAATGGAAAAGTGTCAAAAGACCGAAGAGGGTTTTAACTGCCAAGAAAGGCCGGTTGTGGCCCGACTCAATACATTTGATCCACTCTTCCTCTACGAACCATTGGAGGTTGGTTTGGTTACTTTTGTATAAACCTGCAACTAAAATTAACAATTATGTGCAAAGTTTTAACTAACGGCTTCATTTTGTTGTAGAACTATTGGCCAAAATCATTTTTGGTTACTAAAATACGAACTGTCAGAACGTCTGTCCTGCCGTCCGCCTTGTTTGAAAAAATTTTCGTACAAGACTTATTCTAGCCGATTCCGATTGTCGTCATAATAACGAGGCTGCAGGTGAGAGTTTTTTTGTTGCCGGATGATCTTTGTAATTTGTTTGGTCCTAATTAGAGGTACTGTGTCTGTCAGACACAAACCTGAACAAATTGAAATCAGATCAAACACTTTGTCATATTCACTCCTTCGAGACTCGAGACTTCACGTTTGTTCGATTTGCCGGACTACAGACCACAAGAGGTTTAACTTCCTACTGCAGTACCGAGGCGGATGTTGACGCAATGATATCAAAATTGACGGGTTCGAAGTATTTTTTGACCTTTACCTTCGCGTCGCGTAAATTTCACTCGGATCGATGGTTCCGGATTTTGAATATGGAAATGATTTTCGGCAACGCTCCGGGACGTGTCCACCTTTACAACCGGAATCACACACACACAACAGCGAGGGGCCAGGCAAGTGTCACCCACCTCCGAAAGTCCCCTAAAGAACGAAAGGGTGCGCGAACCGTTAAATGGCCGATAAAATAACAGTAAAAGCCTTGTCGGAAATTTTTTTTAAACGGGGTCTGGCGACCTTCGGTAAACCGCTTCAACGACGGCGCCGTGCTCTTCTCACAAGTACAATAAATTTTCAGTAGTAAAATGGGAAGTACGCTAGCGAAGAGCGCTAGCCGTAAAAAACCTCGTGGCTAGCTAGCCGTTCTTCACTTATAGCCGCTATAGCCTAGCCGCCCGGCAGCTAACCTTCGCGAAAGGGATAAAACGTTTTTTGCAATTTTTACCGTAAAAGGGTTTACTACCTCCTTGTTTCATAAACACTGCATGTGTCGTAAATAGCAACGACTCAATGGATAGCCGCCTAACACGTACCTTTTTATACCGTCGTTCAGAAATGAACATAAAACAAGTAAAGATGAGTCGCAAAATTTCCGTAAGAGACATGGTTAACTGTGAAAACCCTTCTCCGACTTTTTCTTATTCCTGTCTTATACCCTCTCACACTCACACCTTTTGAAGTTCCTTCTCGTGGTTTAGGTACGTTTTGTTTTGTTCGGGCTTCTACAACTCTATCAAGGTTTGCATACCTTGAGAGCGGGGAAGTGTAGCTTGTCAGCTGTTTGTAGGTGGTGTAAGGTCAGGAAAGGAGCTTTTTTTTCTTGGTGACCAAAGTTACCTAAGTCGGATGAAAGTGACAGCACGAGGGATAGTAAAGGCAAAGGGGACTTTATTTTGCAGACATGTTAAACACAGGTGAAATTTCTTTAACGAAGAGAACAACGAAAAATTGCAAGAATCTTAAGTTGTTTTACAAATGCCAATCCCGACGCAAGTTAAGTTAGCAACATAAATTTTAAGCGTAAATCGCAATACGAACATTGCTAAATGCTTTTTGTTGTATTGCTTATGCTAATAAAAAAATAAATAATCCGAATAAAGAAAACTTTATGAAAAAAAATTTAACCAAAGTCACTTAACATGAAATTTTCAAAGTCCATTAGTTTTTCTGACAAATTTTTATGACAAGTTTTTTGTAAAGAGTTATTTTTACTAACCAAAAGGTACATTACCTATTAGCAAAAACTATAAGAACTATAGTTTAATAAACTGGGTTTTTTATTAGCTCTAATACAAACGGATAATTAAGCTCGTTCCGGATACAATGCCACAGGAACCCAACTTACCTTTCCCGCGGAATTTTTATTTTACGTCAATCTGAAAATAATACAACCGTATACCGAGCAGACGGTGACGAAAATTCGCTGCAAAATGTTAACACATGCCCAAGCAAACACCTCCCGTCCAACTCCCCAGCACCAGAACGGCGCAGAAGGCTCCAGAGGGAGGACGGGGAGTCTCAACCACCAAAAGCCCCGAAAGTGCACAACCAAGACCTCTTCGGCCCCCGAACCCAGCGAGGAAGACTCTCTCTCTACCAAGTCCTACCGGCGGGTTGTGTTGTTCGAAGGTGAACCCTTCACGTTTTTTCAATAATGGTCCTCATAAACTTCTTGTTCTAAGGACAAATTCTCTGCCCCCTCGTTCACAGCCAACTGTAAACGACACTTTATAACGTAAACGTCTGTCTTGACATCGCCGTCACTAATTAAAATTCAGTTTTCAAGTTTGGAAATAACAGTTAAAGAAAAAAGCTCAAACACACATGTCTCTCCTCTCTTAGCCTTTAATGTCTTAAAATATATTTTGTAAGACGTTAGGGAATATACTTGTGATAGTTTTTGTCCCCTTGTTGTTACACATGTTATACCGTTTGTGTAAATTCGTAATGTAATTTTTTTCGAGTGTTAGTCTCACTACATTGTTTTTAAATTGTCAAGTGAAAAGTTCAATTTTGGGAACCCCTTTTACCATTTTACCGTATGTTCTACAATGTTATTAATTAGTCCCCAATTTCCATAAATTCGTTAATGAAAGGGGGTACAACAAAGTTTTCGTCGACGTTATGACCTTCAAGACACGTTAACAAAGTTCTTGGTCTTTTGGTGGAAATTAAGCTCCCCTTGTAACTGTCTAAATGTCGTTTTATTCTTCCCGGGTTTGTATAATTTAATATTCGTACGAATTTTATAATAAACTATTTTATCTTTAAATGCTAAGTAATAAAGGTGATTTATAAATCCTATCAGAATAGACAATTTTTCATTAGTAAACTAATCGAACCTCAAAGTGTTTGTGGGTGTGTGTGTGGTGTGTGTGTGTGTGTGTTGGTGTGTTGTCGTGTTGTGGTGTTGGTGTGTGTGTTTGTGTGTGTTGGTTCGTGTGTTTGGTTGTGGTGGTGTGTTGTGTTGTGTGTGTTGTGTGTGTTGTTGGTGTGTGTGTGTTGTGTGTGTTTGGGTGTTGTGTTGGTGTTGTGGGGTTGTGTGTGGTTTTTGTCTGGTGTGTGTGTGTGTGTGTCGTGTGTGTGCAGTTTCCCACCCACGGGGGCTATTCCTATTAGTCACGACGGAGTACTGTTGGATCGTGTTAGACTAAGAAGAAAATATAAGTTTGCGAGTTTCCAAAATAAAAACAAGGATACGTGTATCGGATCTCACATCTTTACCTTTACTATTAAGAAAGACTGGACTCGGGAGGAGGTTGTTACGTTGTAATATTATTTTAATGTTTTGATCAGGCTCTACGGGGTTTTCATGTGTGTAGGACAAATGAGTTCATCTTACATGTCGGATGAGCACGAAAATTTTTACGAGACCACTTTCATCTGTCGATGACTGATTTGAGAAATGAAGTTCAGTTTCATTTCTCCGAAAACTTTACCATGAAGTCATTTTTCATGGGTACTGATCGTCACGACAAAAAATTTCCAATGGACTAGGGGGAAATGAGTAATTGATCTTGTTATTACAGTACAATCGGGGATTACCTTACAAAAGGTACCGACTAAGGTTGCCGTTTGGTACTGTTGCAAAAAGTAACCAGGGAGAAGAAATCCTCTTCCTGGTCCTTTACCTACCCTATGTGCCCTACACAAGTTTTTTTAGTTATCCGTCGCGTTATGAGATTGTATTATTATGCTAGGCGGTGGTTTGGGTGTAAGCCTGATTTCGCTGTCGGACAAACCCTTTTACCGACTCTTCCAATCTTTCGATGGTGCCCATAAACCATGTTGTAACATTCTCGGCATCTTTACGATGTCCATAAACTCAAGTTGTACATTCTTCATCTTTCATGTCCATGAAACCCAAGTGTGTACGATTCTTCATCTTTCAAGTACCCATAAACCAAGTTGTACGATTCTTCATCCTTTCATGTTCCATAAACACAGAGTTGTGACATTCTCATCTTTCAGTGTCCATAAACTCGAAGTTGTACATTCTGTCATCTTTCAATGTGCGCATAAACCTCAAGTTGTACATTCTTCATCTTTCAGTACCATAAACCCCTAAGTCAAAAAATAAGCTAAGTTGTACACCTCTTCGATCCTTTCGAATAGTCTTTTTATTCATCACCTCGATTTCATGACGTACTGGTCTTTGTTACATGAATTCATGATCGGAATTGTTTCATAAACATGAAGTGATAAAGGTGGAGACTTTTATCAACGTTCTTCAATAATTTATAATAGCTATTGTGCTTTGTCTGACTCGTTAGGAAAAGATTTTGTTGAAAAAAAATTTAACCTCGCATGTCATACCATCGCCGGAGTTTGTCGGGTCCACAAGGGATGGTCATCATCGCAGGTACCACCAGTTCCAACGGTCTCGAAGGACCGGGTCTACACGGACTCCCCGCGACGGCAAGACGGTCGTCGGCGCCGGTGGTTGGCCGCGGTGCGACCTCGGCCCCGCCGAAAGGGTGCCTCGACGAGGTCTTCCGGGTTGGCAGCAGCCTTATAACGTGAAAAGCACCATCTCCCTTACTATTTCATCTACCACAGTATGGCTCTGTGAGCATTGGGCCACATTACCAAAGTAAAACAAAATTATGAGAAAAATAAGACTAACCAAAACGATCTTGGGTAAGTCTGATTGTCCTCCGACACCGAGTCACGCTATCGATACTCAACGAATTTAGTCCCCTATCGTTCAAGCTCCAGGTGACGGTAGTCCGTACAGCAACACAGGACTCTGTGAAGTTCGGTTTTAACGAGGTCACCCCTAACAACCTATTTTCGCAGATTGTTCACTGTACATTATTATTACATTATTGTTATGTATGTTGTATGTCGGTGATTGCAATAGTTTACACACGTCATTATCATGTAATGTACAGTCGAACAATCTGAATCGTATGAGGAAACTGTTAGGGGTGTCCTGTTCACAACGACCTTCACACAGTCCATGTGTTGCTGTACGACCTGACGAGCTCACCCCAAAACTTGGACACGACGGAGGCTAGGCTTGTGAGTTGCCCACTGAGGTACCCACTGTTAGTTAGAGTGAAAATTAGTACCTCGTTCTACTAGATACATATTGAGTCGAATGTAATGGCTAACTGAATTTATTTTCGTGGGTCTCTCTTTTACATATTCTTATTATGTAATATCTCCCCGCCACGGTCATATGTAAAAAAAAAAAAAGGGGAAGATACTCAAATAGTCAAGATCCATCATTTGACTTGGTGTCCTACGCCCTTTGTTCCGTGACATACTTTCATATACACTGACGGGTTAGTAATAGTGTAGGTCACTATACTCCGAATTGTACCAGTCGACAAATAATTAGAGGAATTACGACATGGAACCCCCTAGGTCCTCTTCGACGACCTTC